GATGGTGCGGGGCTGGAGCAGCTCCGCTGCGGAGAGAGGCTGAGGGAGTTGGCGTTGTTCCGCCTGGAGAAGAGACGGAGACGTATCAAAAAGAGGGAGAGGGATTGTTACCAGGGTCCGTAGGGCCGGGACGAGGGGCGACGGTTTGAAACCGAGAGAGGGGAGGGCGAGGTTGGACGCGAGGAAGAAATTCTTTGCGATGAGGGTGGCGAGACGCCGGAGCAGGTTGCCCGGAGAAGCTGGGGCTGCCTCATCCCTGGAAGCGTTCGAGGTCAGGTTGGACGGGGCTTGGAGCAACCTGATCCGGTGGGAATCGTCGCTGCCGGAGCTTGGCCTGGGTGGTCTTGAAGGTTCCTTCCATCCCAAACCATTCCAGCTGCGTGGCTCCGCTTGCCTTCCCAGCCCGATTTTCCGCTCCTTTCCCCCCAGGTGCAGCTGGATCCCTCGGGCACCTTCCTGGCGACGAGCTGCTCCGACAAAAGCATCGCCCTCATCGACTTCCACTCCGGGGAATGCGTGGCAAAAATGTTCGGTCATTCAGGTTCGGTTCCTCACGCGAGACGCCCAGGGAAAAGGGGAACCCCCCTGCCTGTCCCCCCTACCCCGGTTCGGCCGCGAAGCCCCCCGATAACGTCCCCGCGCCCCCGCTACGGCGTTGAAACCTCCTAAACGAGCGCGGGGATCGCCGACGAGCAACGCCGCCTTCTCTCCGGCACAGAAATAGTCACGGGGATGCGGTTCACCTACGACTGCAAGCACCTCATCACCGTCTCCGGAGACAGGTAGGGGCCGGCGGACCTACAAAATCGTCTGATTTATGCCGAAATCGTCTGATTTATGCCGAAATCGTCTGATTTATGCCTATACGCCTCGCAAGACACGACGGGAGAACTGGCTTTTGAGAGCGCTTGGGCGGGATGTGCGCGGAAGCGCCGGGGGGGGTGGAAATTAAATTCATCGAGGGATTTAACATGAAGCTCACCGTAGCCGAAATCTTGGGGGGGG